TTTCTTAGCCCTTCTTTTTGACAAGTTTCTTCATGAAACAAGAGTGGTTGCAGGTTGATGATAACCGAGTAAACATAATAGTGCAAGAAAAAGTAAAATTTGAGCTAATATCCACTTATCTGTAAATCACTCATATATTTTCTCACGTTAAATTTGCTTTGTTAGATAAAGTAAACAAGTTGATCTGGGTTGACCTGATGGAGATGAAGCACATAAAGAATACATAGTTTTCATTGGCCATAGGGAAGATAAAAGCGCCATAACTACTCTGTTAGCAGTTAAAGTTAAGCAATTAACAATTCCATAGTAATTAATAATCAAATATAATTGACAAACATTTGCTGCTTCCAAAGGTATTATTAGATGACATGAAATGTCACTGGCATAAAAAAGAACCACAAAATCTACAAAGCCAAGAGAATTTGCCCCCTTTGCAACTACAATCGTATTGCTTCTTTAAGTCATTTCAAAGGTCTTCTTAATTCATAAATATAGGACATTGAAAGATTATACTTATTACTCATGAACTACTACATTATAATGTCTAAAAATTTGCAGTCATTTCTGGAACAGCTTGTGTGGCAAATAAGATAATAAATGGTACTTTTCTATGATGTATTCTAAACTAGATCTGGATAAATAAGTAATCATGGAATTTTCTTTCATTTAATTCATTTATTGGATGCAGGTGTTATTTGGGTAACATGCCCAGTCGAGAACAAAATAAATTAGACGAGCCTAATCAAGAGGAGCCTGTTACGGAAATAAAGAAAATACTAATTAGTACCGCTATTTATGCTGTGCAATCCGCACTTAAAGCCTCCAAAATTTGGCTAAAACGCATCTCCCACTTACAACCTGTTTTCCACTGACTTTACAAGCTAAACAGAGCATGGTGCAGATCTGAACCCAGTAAAATTATCCACTGACCACAGTTATCCCCATAAACAGTTGTCCATTACTCACCTACCTTACTCCTAGTTATAGAACGTACAACTTTCACGGAGAATTCCACATGTTCAATTAAGTATCCCTAGTTTAGTGCAACATTATTATTCATATTTTCCAGCTTCATTGACTTAACAGTAAACAATCCCATAGTTTAAGGTTGGACTCTGACTCAACCTTCCTTAGCAGCGCTCCATCTTGCCAATTTGACCAAGACCTCTTGCACCAGAGACCTTCGTCAGCTCAACTGATGTCGACAGATCTGAGCTAACCATTTCTTGTGCAAACAGGCTTTAAATTTTTCAGTGACGAAAATTTGACTGAGAAGCACCATGTGAAGGTCATTGACATAAATGAAACTAGCATAAATTAAAGTATCCCCGTCTACCATAGTAAACCCATAATAAAAAAAAAAGAACCCACTGTTTTGGGAGTATTCTCTTACTTTCACTTTCTTAAAATCATGGTTAATTTTCTTAAGCCTGGTATTTGGAGATGTCTAAATCTCCTATAATAGATCGAATTATTTGGTTCAATCTTAAATTTTTCTTCATAATTCTCATTAACAAACTATGAAGATAAGCAGGTATTGGGTCAAAAACGACCCTTCCCCAGACTAGGCAAGAAAAGGAATAGAATTGAGACACCAAATCTTACGTGGTTCGGCCTAAGCCTACATCCACGAGCAACATGACAATAACTTCCACTATTGAGATATCAATACTACAAGAGAAAGAATTCTCTCACTCACACCCTCTACAGTCTACGAAGCTAGACCCCTCTTCTACCAACCCAACCACAATATGTTTTTGTGGATACAACCTATATAATATTTGGTAGAGGAGAACAATTGTAGAGAACACCAAGTCTCTTTTTGGATCACTTGATGCAAATGACATACCATTCACCCCCTTTTATAATGGTGAAGTTGGCCTCTAGATTTTTCCATCATTAATGCCAGCACTTTCCAATGTGATGTTGAATCCATCAAGTTCTTAAAAAACTTTAAATTTCTTTCTCTTTAATTTTCTTTTGACTTGTCAATTTGATATTAAATACCCCAACAATCTCCACTTTAATATCAAATCATTCCACCTAGATAGTTTCCACTTGCCGCGTTGTCGTTCCACCTGTTTCCACTTTAGTCTCCAAGGGCTTTGCTAACCCCAACACTCCTCATTAGAAACACCACTTCCCCTTTCGTTTCAAAGCGAACCTTCCGCGGGCAACCTCCACCCACTTTCACTTCACTGGCGGGAAGTCTCCTTTGACATGCACTTGCAACACCCATTTTTCTTGTCACCTTGGTACCAATCAACTTGCTTAAGTTGCCAACACAAAGCCTTTCATCACCAAAAGTGCACCCTTATAAATTTTTATACCTCCAACTTCACCAGTGAACTTATATCCTTTTGAGACCAACCTCGACAACAAGATAAGAATTGCTCCCCTTCCCTCCACCTTGGAGGTTGAATTGTTTCCCATCGTGGTAAATGAATTTTCACATAACCTGTAAGTAATAAACCATAATTTTTCGGAGCACATATGATGAGTTGTACCTTAAGTTGCATGGGTATGGGTACGAGTGCACGTATGGGTATGAGACACAACAAATTTGTCAAACGTAAGGTACAAGGACACGGCTATATATATATACATATATTTAGGTTAAAAATTAACAATTATATTAACCATCGCAACTTTACTATGTTTAATCTCAAATTCTCAATATAATAAGCTCATTCCTTAAAATTATAAAGTAAACTCATTTGAAACTATGACTTTATATTCCATATCAGCATCGGTAGCGGAGCCACTCTATAGCAAAGGGGTCACACCCACCCCAAACTTCTTATTTTTTTATTAAAAAATGTGGGTAGTGGAAGGTTCAATGAGAAGATAGCATGAGCTAAGTGCAAGGTTCAATGAGAAGATAGTTGAGCTTTTGAAGCTTAGTGTTGCTTTGTATCTAAGAGATGGATATAAATCCTTTGATGTTGATGAAATATTAGCTCTTGACTTCACAGAGCAAGAGAATATTTGTTTGAGACTTCTGGTATAATATTTTTACATCGATGTGCTAAGCCATCCTGATTTGGAGACATTATCATCCATTGCAGAACTCTGCCAATGTTTAGCTGAGACGAAAAAGTCTAAGTTATATCACCTCATTAATCGACTTACTCGTCTTGTTTTGATTCTTCCTGTGTCTATTGCAACTACTAAGCAATCATTTTCAGCTATGAAACTTGTGAAAACAAAATTGCCCGACAAAATGGGGGATAAATTTCTAGCTAATAATTTGGTTCTTTATATTGAAAGAGAAATTGCAGACACGTTTGATTTGGATCACTACTTAATGATTTGTATTTCTGAGAAAAGAGCGTCGCTACGACAATTCTAAGAAACAACATAATTAGATTCGAATGAAACAATTTTATGTAATTTTATGAAGTCTATGTATTTGTACTTTTAGTATATAGTTACATTTGATATAATCTTTTATCATTGTTCTAGATTTATATATATATCCCCCCCCCCCCCCCCCCCCGAACTTGATCCTCCAGCTTTCATCACTAAGCCTAATTATCACACCACAAGTTCATCGGCATTGGACTACGAAGATCAATCTCGCTCAACTACTGATGTATCCACCAAAGCTCCCAATTAGATTGCACCAAGGCTCTATACTCTAATTCTGCATTGGATCAGAACACTACATTTTGCTTCTTATTTTTCCAAGATACCAAATTACCTCCAACAAATCTGTTAAGTTTAGAGCAGGTCCAATCTACATCCGAGAAATGACAATGACCATGATTCCTATACAATATACCACGTCATGGAGCGCCCTTGAGATAAATAAAATATGCTCTAAAGCTGCCCAATGAGTAGTTCTCTGAGAAGACATAAACTGGCTCATTACATTAACTGGATATGCAATGTCAGGGCGAGTAACTGTAAGATAATTCAATTTTCCAACTAATCTCCTGCGCATCTCAGAGTCTATAAACAACTCTACATCTTCTGCTGCAAGTTGCATATTGGTGAG